AGATATTTTAATACAGCACCCAAGTTGTACTTAATTTATATACTCTGTAGCAAGAATGTTTTTTTTAAGTCAACAGTGGTTTTACTCAGTGTTAAGAATTCAATGCATGTGTCATACTTACAAGTCTTTACAGGATAAAAAGATTTCTTCAATGAGCGCCATGTCATTTAACTGCATGGCAAAACGAAGAGCTTGTGGATATTGATCAAATTTTCTGTATAATTCTACTGCTGTCTTCATCAATGTTGTGTTCTCTGGATCTGGCACATAAGGTACACAACTGCAAAAACATATAAAGATGCTTAATAATCTAACTTAAAATTAGTACATCAAATCTCAAGGTTTTACACATATGTGAAACAATTTCTTGAATATCAGTGAAAAATAAAGAAACTGGAAATAAACAGATTGTATATTTATCCTTTTATGCAATGTTTCATACATCTCCCTTTTACTGCAGATTAATTTCTTAAAGTAAGTACATTTCTATTTTACCTTGTAAGATACAGACAGACACGAGGATAAGCGTTTTCATCCACATAGTTCTTTAACATGTCCAGCTTCTCTATCTCCATTAACAAATCACAGGCCTCGGCCTCTGCGTTGTGGTCCATGTGGTAGGGCACAATCTCCTTGGTCATCTTTAGCAGTCTCTCCCTCATCTCTGTGTTGGTCTCCTCTGTATCCTGCCACTCGTGAGCCACCTGTCCAGCCAAGTGTCTGTAAATACAGTCAAATCTTGTTATCTCGAACTAAATGGGACCGAGAAAAAACTTCCAAGATATCCGAGGATTCTAGATACTGAGGTTAAAATAAATACAAAAAGTGAAGTGGGGATTTCCACCTCACTTTGACATATCCATGGTATTCTAGATATCAGTGTTCGAGATTCCAAATTCAAATGTATATAACAAATAAGACACTTTAAAGACATTAAGAACCAAAGCTTTCAATCAATAATCAAGCACAATTTTAAAATAACAAACCCAATCAAATGTACAATTTTGTAGTCGTATACATAATTTATAGAGGGATTCTCTTTCTCAACATGTCTTCATACTTTTCCTCTATGTCTTCAGGAATAAGAATGTGACTCAATAAATGACCTACAGTAAAGGCTCAGGTTTACCTGACATATTCATGACCCCATGACCCAATTTCCTCTTTAGATCCAATAAGTCTGTATTTCAAACTGTCCCTGTTGTCACTCATTGTCATTCCTAACACAGATATAATGTCAGCACAAAATCTCTGTAACATGATACAAAAAAGTTTTATTTAACATTACAATCAGTATCAAAAACACTCAAACTTATAAAACAAATTACAGGTATTTATTACGCCAGTGTTCAATGTAATTTTATGCAACTAAGATTTGATTTTTATAGTTCTATGATTGAAAGTTTTCCAGAAAGTTCAAATTAGTCACTTCTAACATTTCTTGTTTTCATAATGCCATATTTATTATTTATAAAATGGCATATAAATTAAATATACAATTCAGACAAATTAAAAAAAAAAAGTAAATGTATATTTTTAACCAATGTTTTATCCATGCCCTTATATTTTGCATGAAAATGAAGTACATTTAATACAAAAATTTTCAAAGCCAAACCTTTGTTTCATCATCTTTTATTTTCTCATGCACTTCTTTCAGTGAATCATAATGGGGACGAAGGAACTTTAGTGGTTTGGGCACAGAAGTCATTGATGTTGTAGATGCTCTGATCTGAGATCGCAAGCTTTCCAGGGCAGGCTTATATAGCTTCTGATCTGACTCCTGTAATGTTAAATATAAGTACATAAGTATACAAAGATTATAGACAGGCTCAAGTAGTGCCAATGAATTTTAACAGCAAGATCATTCTACAATACCTTGAGTCTTTCAACCAACATGTTAAGCTCATCTTGAAGCTGTTTGTCTTCTTCAGACTGAAAAGAGAATAATACTTTAAATATATATGTTTACCAATATCCTTTCATTTACAGATTCTGTCCAAGTCTGAACTTCTTTTGTAAAAGGTATCAGTAGAAATGTAATATAGGTTTACTTTTATTACCAGTCTGTCCAGGATTCAAGGAACACAGGCAGATAAGCTGAGAGAGATGACCATGAATGGACAAATTTAAGAAATTAAATATGGTAGGACCCTAAGTTCAACTGCAATGAAGTTTTCTTTCATATATCACTTAACATCAATAAATACTCATACATGTTAACTCTACCGCTTTAGGCGGAAGTCTACCGATTTTTTACTCCATCTCCCGCCTACCGCTTTTATTCATAAATGAGATGTATTCTAACTGTGGCAAGGGGCCTGTCCTTGATTGATAATTTATTCTTATAACTATAATATGAACTCTTTTATCTATTCATTTGATTCACATTATTTTAGTCACATGACTCCTGACACAGACAGGGGTATACGTGAATAAAAGGAACAACATATCTGTGTATAGATTAAACCTGATTAAGTTTTACTGGATCATTGTCATTAAAATGGTGTCTCACAGTAAATTGACCACTTCAATTGAAGAAAAAGCCACTCAGAAATCAAAATTTTTTAAAAATAATTGTTGTAATATCTCAAAAAGATTTTTTTCATAAACCTCACCCCCTAGTCTATTACAATCACTATATAACCCTTTACTTTGAAATAAAGGGAAAACACTGGGCTCAAACCAATGATAAACACTACATCATTGAAATTTGCTTTATTTCATTTTATCTGTATATTTTTTTCTTTTTCTTCTTCTTCTTCTTCTTCTTTTTTTTTTTTTTTTTGAATTTTTGTTTTTGGGTTGGTTTTGTTGTTGTTGTTGTTGAAATTTTCAGAGCCATAAATAATAGAGATTCAACTGATTGAAATCTCTCTCATCCTATAACTACTCCTATTGATTACTTTTTCCCTGTCTTGCGCTGTTTAAATCATACAAATCTTTAAAATGATCAAGGATTTAAACAAATTAAACCTTTTTTATTTATATCAACAAATTATTCAGAATGTAATATATTTTCATAAATTTCATTATTCAATAATAACAAGAGGAATCTGAAAGAGCAACAGGGGACCCCTCGTTGGCGGTATCTCAAGAGACTTCACTATTTTTTATCACTGACCTCTTTAATTTGCTTATAGTTTGCTATTATGATGTGGTGACTGTTGGGATGAATGCAGTTGTGTATTATTGGACAGCCTCCCTATACAATTTTAACTTTGAGCAACCTCTTCAAACTGCACAAGGCATGTCATATGTTAGTTGCATATTTCCATAACAAACTCTTTTTAAACAGAGAACTTCATATTTACCATCTAACTGCAATATCCTTTATATCAAAGTAAGTTTACTTTTTATTTGTAAACTTTTGTTTGGTTATAGTGAGGATTTGTTTGGGTTCTATATGCAATTTATGAAGCATTTTGGGTACTAAGGTTAGTGCAGGGAAAAAATTTGTTGTGATCACTGTGCACAGTCCGAATTTTCTCTTTGCCCAGGCATTGCTTTAAGAGCTCGCAGTGATCTTTTAATTAATGTATTAGTTAAGAAAATTACAAATCATATATCTTAATATAATAGAGAGCACAGCGAGCTCTTAAAGCAATGCCTGAGCGAAGAGAAAATTCAGCCTTTGCACATTGATCCAAATGATTTTTTCCCCACGTTACCTGTGTTCCCATAATGCTTTGCAAATTGCATCTCACCACAAACTACGTTCTCACGGTAGCAACAAAAGTTCAAAATAAAATCACATTGATTTAATTGATATTGCAGAAAAAACAGTAGATTAAACATTCTTCATTAACACTAGCACTGTTCAGGCTTCAATTTGGTAATGCAACTTACATAAGACGTCATGTGATGTCAAGAGTTTAGACTGAGGTACCAAATATCATATGCGGTTTGAAGAGACGGATGTAAGTTAAAACTGAAAAGGTATCTGCGCTCGCCCTAATGGTCGCAACATCAACAAATTAGATTTGATATCAATTTAACTCTATGATAAGTCCAAAGCAAATTTATAAATAAATTTAGGAATACTGATGGGTATATCACACATTTTAGGAAATAAACCTGTAAGAGTTATTGGTGGAATTGCAATATTCTGTGATTTATGTTTCTGGTTTTTGTTTTTTTTTTCTCTCTCTTATTTCTTAATAAAAATTTATAATACTGAGAAAATTCGGAAGAATGTTTAATCTATACACTTTGGATGACTAATAAACACATTTTCATAACACTTTATAAAACTTTTCACAATAAACACGCATGCCATTTTCCTAATGTAATAATTAAAAAATTCCCCTAGAATTCTCTTTTTCTACTGCTATGGACAAGGCATGACAGAGCAAAATTGAAAAATAGATCTAAATTATTAATTAAATTAACAATGTAACAAAAGCTGTAATTAATTGCATGAAATATATGTTGCACAGAGAAGTAAATTCTTAATGACTTACTAATTCCTGCTCCTTTTCTTCCTTTTTCTTTGTATCTTTATCTTGGGTTTCTTTCCCTTCGTCTTTTTTGTCTGCCATGTTGAATGTTGAAGCCGGTGATTCTCGCGACTTATCATGCAAACGAGATAATTAAATAATCAACTGAAAACAATTTCTTTGATTAAAAAAACAACAAATTATTTTATGTCATTCAAAGGACTTTCTTATTTTTTTTTTAATTAATACATATTTAACTTCATTTATTATACATTTATTATTAAGTAAGTTGTACTTTGATTTTTATTTTTCAAAAAAAATTCGGTTTACAAATTACAAGATGCCATTTTTAAGTACTGCTTTGAATACTATATGTTCTTATAAAAGAATATTATATCTAGTTTATTTACTTTTTGAAAATAAAGTATTTTGAGGATAAATTTAGATTAGAAATATATACGAATATTAAAAGTATAAATTAACGTCAAAAAAATGTGTTCCCATGATGCCTTGCGAAATACTTTCTTTGGCAGAAAACGGGAACAAGCAGAAAAGTCATTTAGTTTACAAAAGAAATCGCTATACCTTTGTAAGATAATGATATGCCAAAGAGAAATGTTGTAAAGCCCTCTTCATAAAATAATTTTGCTCGAGTGGTGTTTCATTTGGAGAAAATAAGTTTTCGATCCAAAAGGGACATAGTTTATATAGTATCCAAGGCAACAGTTCTCTTTTTATTAGTTGTTAGACGATTTAGAGACAGGTAAGCATATATTTTTATTGAAAAATCTAAAGTTTTGTCTGTAGCACATTATGTAGAAAATTTAGATTGAATACAATGATTGCACATGTGCTTACCTTGACTTTCTTGGGTCAGAGTTTATGAAATGTTTAAGGACCCTCTCTACACCAGTGCAAAATGTTTTTTCACATCGAGAAAATTATTTTGAATAAAGGTGTAAATATTGAGCTTATCTATTTAATTTTCAATATATGGTACGTGGCATTTACCCCCAGGAAAAATGTTCAAACACAACACAGTATCAGTGAACAGAAATCACTGCTGTTTACTTCCATGGAGAAAATATAAGTAAATAACATGTTCAATTAATTTATCTTGGCTTTTCAAAATGTTAAGAATACTTGAATTGATTTCAAATTGAGTAATATACTGTAAATTTCTATTTATTGGAATTTAGATCTAAGGACAGATCACTCTAACTGCAGAAAAATACCATAGAATCAGAACTCTTTGGTGTGCAGTGTAGAGAGGGTTCTTAAATGTGGATATTATATCATCTGCTCTTATTTTGTTAAAAAAGATTAATCATTTCTCATTAACTAACTTTTATTCCATATAAAACAGTAGGAAGTATTTCTGAACAAGGATGTTATGAACTGGATCTATTTTTAGACTTGGACCCTCAATTAATTGTGATCTGGCCACAATCATAGAGCTCTAAGCTCTAATAATAAGGGCATCGGAATGTATTCTGGAGGAACCTAAATCAGTGGGGTCCCTAAATTAGTGGCATCTCCTTTTGAACTGGTGCTTTTTTTTTAATATCAGAAGATCTGACTTTATCAATATATGAATAATATTTGTTAACACCTTTACTTACAGTATGTCATACAAAAGTAAAAAAAAATCCCGAAGAAAAAAAAAAAGTTTAAATACAACATTGATTGCAGTGCTCCAAGTCGCGAATAAAATTGTTGCATTTGTGACCAAAATAATAATTTTGCAACTAGAAATGAAAACTAAATTGCATTCTCGCGACTGAGAAAATTTGGGATGGCAATTGTCCATTTTTATGATCGGGATTGACATTTTTTTTTCCAAGATACTCTATCAAGAAAGGGGGGGGGGGGGGCTTTGCTGCTGTCTGTCGGTCCACCACAATTTCCGTTCATTTTCTTTGCAAAGGTTGCATATATTGAAATGTTTTTTTTTTTTAAATACAGATTTATCATTAGAATATCTAGATCAAGTTCTGTTTTGGGGACAATCGAGCAATTTTTGACAGAATTATGCCCCTTGGACTTTGAAAAATTTCAATTATTTGCAGTTTCTGTTCTGACATTTTTTTTGCAGAGGTTGCACATACTGAAGTGAAATTTGGTATACAGATTAATCATAAGAATATCTAGGTCAAGTTATGTTTTGGGTATGATCAAGCAATTTTTGACAGAGTTATACCCCACTTAGGAAAATTCCAGTTATTTGCTGTTTTCGTTCATTTTCTTCACAGAGGTTGCACATACTGAAATGAAATTTGGTATACAGATTTATCACAAAAATATCTAAAAATATCTAGGTCAAGTTTTGATTTGGGTACGATCGAGCAATTTTTGACAGAGTTATGCCCCTTGGACATAGAAAAATTCCAATTAGTTGGGGGGGGGGCATAAGTGTTTCACAAACATCTCTTGTTTTGAATAATTTTTGTTGCCATCTGCCATCCCTGTTCTGACACCATTGTGATATATTTTGAAAAAATATGTCATGTATAGATATACAGTTGAACTTCGGTATCTCAACACTGATATCTCAAATACCATGGATATGTCAAAGTGATTTTGAAGTCCCAACTACTCATTCTTTAAGTATTTTACCCTTGATATCTTGAATCCTTGGATATCTGGAAGTTTTTTCTCAGTGACTGAGTCCCATCGAGTTTGAGATAACGAGGTTTGACTGCACTAGAAAGTGTTGTCATCTTGTGAAAGTCAAACAATTTTTTTATGAAATGTAATGCGAGATAAAACTATACTGCATTAAGTCAGTCTGACAATAAACAATATCTAATTTGATTGACAGGCCAGCCAACCATCTGAAAATGTATTTTTTTTTATATATACATCTGAATACATTTATCTGTCTTTCCTGTTCTACAAAATGTGGAAATTTCCTGTAGCAACTGATCTACTACTTGACCAAGTTCTTGATAATCATCTTCATTTGTACAGAATCTTTAGAATTATTGCCACACTTGGTACATTTTATTATATTATTAATTTGAAAATTTAAAATATGAAATGACGGTCACATGTATTGAATTGGAACACATTGCTATGAAAAAGCAATTGTTTTTCCAGCTGGTATATCAAGAATACTTGGGAGGGGAAGTGAAATTAATTTTTGGTGAAAAATGAAAAAGAGCACACTCAAGGGAAGTTACTCTAGATCATGTAGATTGTCATGATAAAATCTATGGATTACCAGCCCCGGCAAAATCCCAATGACGGAAATTTCATAGCCGGCAAAATTTCTCGTACAGACGGTTAATTTTGCCGGTTGTCGGCTCTTATTGAAAACACTGCCTTTGTAGGAAAAGATGTTAGTTTTGTTGTCATGACAATGTAGATTCCAAATTTAGTGCAAGGAAAACAGTAGGAAATGACATAATTTTAATTGTTGTTTATATAGATTGCAATAGTAGTCTATGAAATTTTAATATTATTTTGCTAAAATCAATTTGTTCTTTCATAGTGCTGAAGTATGATCTCAACATTCATTCAGAAGCATTCTTGTACTGATTGATGCTTTTGCATTAAAATCAGAAAATGATTACGAAGTAGAATACTTACACAATTACAGGGGGATTGTTCTGCTCAAATTTCAGATGATTTGTTGAAAAAAAAAGTTACTGATGTACTTATGGAGTAATATACTCTTTATTATTCATATGATACATTTATAGGTTTTATGTAACACTTGTGATATATTTGATACATTTATAGGTTTTACTTGTAACACTTGTGATATATTTGATACATTTATAGGTTTTACATGTAACACTTGTGATATATTTGATACATTTAATATAGATTTTACATGTAACACTTGTGATATATTTGATACATTTATAGGTTTTACATGTAACACTTGTGATATATTTGATACATTTATAGGTTTTACTTGTAACACTTGTGAATAAAAAAATTAATAAAACCCAAAATTCTGAAAATGCATGTCTAGTAGCCGTAAAATGACAGAAAAGAAAAAAAACAACAACAACAAACTTTAAATATGTCACTTTATTTTAAAACAGTCTATGAGTTTGCATAAGTGATGCTCTTTTCATTCAACTAGTCAACAATTTAACAGTTAAATTACACTAAATATTGAAATTGATTCTGTTTTAGAAGTTTATTAATAAGTATATATATGTACTGAAAAAAGTGATAATAAATCGATAATTTCTGACATACTTTATGCATATGAAGAGCAAGAAAACCTTTAATATCTAGAATAATTGGCACTTCAATGTTATTTATTTATGAAAGTGAAAGTGCTAATTGTAAAAACAATTAACACTTCTCCATTCATAATAAAATATAAATATTGAAGTTATTAATTAAGTCTCATTTAGAGTCCTATAGTAAAGAATAATTTCTTTCTTCTCTAATTGTGAGAAAGATTTCTGCCTAAGATTGCATGGGATAACTGTGAATATTTATTCTCTATCAGAAATAACCATGTCTGACGGTGAATCAGTTAAAGTCATCGTAAGATGTCGACCCATGAACACAAGAGAGAAGGATCTGAAATGTAAAACATGCATTGCTATGGATAGCAAAAAGGGGCAATGCTCCATCAAGAATCCAGATGACAAGAAAGCACCACCAAAGATGTTTACTTTTGATGGAGCTTATTTCGTTGATTCAACGACAGAGAATATCTACAATGAAATAGCCTATCCATTAGTAGAAGTAAGAATTTTTTTTAAAAAAGCTACAGGGCTTTATTTTGAGGCTTCCCTCTTTATTGTATATGAGTCTCAAACATTATTGAAAATTAATATTTTTTAAAGTTTTCATCAATTCTTTATTATTTCAAAATTGCATGTTCAATTGTTGGAATTATTTAAATGTATATACAGTACTCTAAAGGTATGTTTCAATAACATAGGGTGTAACAGAGGGTTACAATGGAACCATCTTCGCCTATGGCCAAACTGGCTGCGGCAAGTCATTTACTATGCAAGGAATTACAGACCCAGCAACTCAAAGAGGAATCATTCCAAGGTAACTTACTCATTCTTAATTTTTTAAGTGGAATTGAATACATATTTATCTCATTAGAGCCAAGTAAATAAGTGAACCTTTTTAGTCCCTTCTGTCTATTGGGTGTCATATGATACCAATTTCCACTTTCAACCAATGTTTGCCAAGTTATCCTTGGAAAAAGCAAGTCAGAATTGTTCTTTGTTCACATTGTGTACCACAATCAAATCTGTTGAATTTATGGCCTAGAGCTAAGGTTTGACCAGTAGGGGGTCAAACTTTTGCATAGGGAACAGGAATGTATAGCAAAAAATATGTCCTCAAGAACAAAAGAGCAATGATTAATTATGTTGATGATGCAAACATCCCTATGTAAAGTAGAAATCAAAATTGTTCTGGGACTGGGGCCACAAAGTGAGTAGAGTATTACTTTAGAGTATATACATAGTCTCAAAAAACAGAAGTTCACTTTTTCCTATTAATTTGCAAATATCCCTATACAGTATAGATTAAATTTTAAACAAACCATTGTCCTCTTAGTTAGCTTTGGGCCACTGTAGGTTGAAAAGTATCTCACAGAAATGTATACTGTATAGGCTTCTCGCAACAAAACAACAGTCTACAATATGTAAACTTGATGCCAAGCTTCAATATACTATGAATTAAGATTGCTTAAATCATAGACTTGGAAGCCTGTGGTCTCCAATGTTCATTTACCTGCATACATGTATTTTTGTCAGTGAGAAAAATGTGACTAAGGTGAGCACTGTGGCCCCTGGATTTATTGTTTCTCAATCTGTAAATAATTTCTTAAGACAGGTACAAGTGCATATTGATAGTCATACATATTATTATATTTCAGGGCATTTGATCATATATTTGAAACAGTCTCCGTAGCAGAAAGTACCAAATTTTTACTCCACGCATCTTACTGTGAAATATACAATGAAGAAATCCGTGACCTCTTGGGAAAAGATGTGAAACAAAAACTTGACCTGAAAGAACACCCAGAAAAGGGAGTTTATGTGAATGGTATTTGCAAAAATAATTTTTTTTTTTAAAGAGTGAATTTGCAATCTTTTAAATTCAAAATGGATATGTGAACAGATAATATAACTAAAAATGAAATAATGAAGAAAAAAATAGAAAAATTGACCCTGTTTAATTTACTTGCTAAAGCACAGGATTAATGAATTCAATTTCCAATTGATGACAGGGCTTTCAATGCATCCAGTGCACAATGTTGCTGATTGTGAGAAAGTCATGTCCAGAGGTTGGTCCAACAGAGCTGTAGGAGCCACGCTGATGAATGCTGATTCCTCCCGCAGTCACTCTATATTTACCATCAATATTGAGATGGTCACGGAGGATGAGGCCGGGGAGGAGCATATTAGGGCGGGGAAATTAAATCTTGTAGATTTAGCAGGAAGTGAAAGACAGGCCAAAACAGGTAGGCAAATGAGAATCTAAAGCAAAAGTATTTTTGTAGATTATAATGATTTTGCCATGATTTGTAATTACGTACATGATCAGTATGATTGAAACAAGACTTATGTGCAAAAAATTACCCAGCTAAATGACATATTTAAAAAAAAGAAAATATCAAGGATCACAGAATTTGTCCATAATATTTTTTTACCATACTGTTGATTAATTTGATTATCTATATAGGTGCCACCGGTGACCGATTAAAGGAAGCAACAAAGATCAATCTCTCTCTTTCTGCCCTTGGAAATGTCATCTCGGCTCTGGTTGACGGTAAATCTAAACACATACCCTACAGAGACTCCAAGCTAACCAGACTTCTCCAGGACTCTCTGGGAGGCAACACAAAGACTCTAATGGTCGCCTGTTTGTCACCTGCTGACAATAACTATGACGAGACCTTAAGTACTCTTCGGTATGCCAACCGAGCCAAGAACATCCAGAATAAACCCAAGATTAATGAGGATCCTAAGGATGCTCTGCTGAGACAGTACCAGGAGGAGATCGAGAAACTCAAGGCCATGTTGATGGGTCAGATTCCACTACCAGAGGGAGGACTGGGAAATATAGGTTGGTCTGGATAAATATTAGGATGTAATTACAGAGTGTTTGGAAATTATCAAAGAGGTGACCTAGATGTATCTAAAAAAAGTAAAAGAGGAACGTATTTTTTTTTTTTTATTATTATTATTTTTTGTTCAAGAACTTCTCATGAAAGAATATATTTAAGATTTAGTACACATTTCTCAGACAAAATGACAAGAATGTTATTTATTCCCTGTGATGAATTAGCTTATTCATAAAGTTTTTCAAAGTAAAGTATAAACCTTTCATTTCTTGAAGATGCCTCAAAAATTCAAAGACCCAAGAAAGATTCTGAATCATCAACAAGAGAGGAGCTGGAAGAGGAGAAAAGAAGACTTAGAGAGGTTTGTTATCTGAAACAAGTCAACTAATGGTCTCTAGAAATCAAAGCATTTTATAGATTATCTTTATTAAAAATTCCAAAAAAACCCCAAAAAACAACATTGTAGACATGATTTAAATTTTCAAGGGTTCTTACCATGTTTATGTACTGGTAAAATTTTGAACCAAAAGAAAAACATCCAGAAAGAAAGTATTATCTTGAATTTTTATTAAACAGTTTTTGTTAACCCTTGATGGAACATAATTAAATAATGTAAGTTTTTTCCTGAATAGGAGTATGACAATGAGCTAGAAGGATTAAAAGCAGAGTTTGAACGAGAGAAAAGCGACAAGAAAAAAATCCAGCAAGACATGCTGAAGTTGCGGGCATTTTACGACACAAAAATGTCGTCCGTGGATGGTCAGATTGCTGTACTTCCCCCCACTGCTGCAGGTAATCCTCGAACTTTTGTCCCCGATCACATTAAATTCATGAAGTTATCTCCCCTGAGGTAGTTTACATAAAGGAAATTTAGGGTCCAAGACAACAATTTAATATATTTTTTTTTACGAAGTCTTAGTTTTTATTCATTAATTTAATACTATAAATGGTGTATATTGTAATTATATGTGCAGCAATACATGTATAGTTGCTGTTTGCATGTAGGTGTTTCTCTATTTATATATATATTCATAAATATAACATTGTGTTTCAGTATAATTTTTATTCACATTTTATATGTACTGCTCAAGTGACATTTAAAAGAACTAAAATGTTTTGAAATTATAGGGAAAAATAATAAGGGAAAGTCCAAAAAATCTGGTAATCAGTTAGCTAGGAGAATATTCTATATAATATTTATAATATATTATCGTAGACTTTGTACAGGCAGTTTATAACATGTAGATAGGGTATCGTATTAGGAAATTTTGAAATTCTAATTGGAGGACTAACTTGTTTCAGCAGGAAGAACATTCATTTTGAAATAGAAAATGCCTCAATATTCAACATAGCTTGCTAATTAATTCAAAGTTAACACATCCTAGTGAAGGACTTATTAAACAGGACTTATTAAACAGGAAAAATATTTAACAATTGGGGGAAACTGTTTTTTATTCTTGCAAAATTATTCTTTATAAAATATTTACAGCTTACTTTAATATAATTTACTTTTAATAATTGTAGTTTTTCTCATTAATATTAATCATGGAAAATGATTTCACAGCTTCAATAATGATTTATCAAATGCATAATTTTATCGATTGTAGCATATCTTAGTAATAGTGTAGTTTAATACTAATTTTTCTATCAGATAGTTCTGTTAATAATTTCTTTTAGTTGATTTTGTGGTCTAGATGCTAGAAGAGATGATTACATTTAATACTAAATGAAAAAAAAGATTGCATCATAAGCAAGTGATTGAATACGGAGCTGTTTAAGTATATAATATCAGTAATTGTAATTTTCTGACTCAGGTCAAAGTTTTTCCGTTAATTTTAGTATTAAAATCAAGTTGACATTAATTAGAAAACATATTTATTATACATTTATTCCGGTCATTGAATAAAGGGGCTGTCACCCAAGGTGAAGCTGTTTGAGGCATTCTTTTTATAAAGTTGAAAAATCAAATTAAAGAGAGGGGGGATGTAAGGTCAGTTGTAAGGCAAAAACATCAACATGGATAAATGAAAATATTGTAAATATTGAAATTGTCATGTACGTAGGGTAATTTTACACTCAAATACATAAAAAAGGTTGTTAAATTATTCCTTACACATCACTCTCTTCATATTATATTGTTAAGTTAAGGCTCCAGGCATCTTAGAAATACTGTATGTGTACTTAAAAAAGTGGGCTTCATATTTTAGCAGCATTGGCGCAGACAACAATGCGCTAATTCATGAATACCGCTAAGAAATCATTTATAAATACAGTATATGGCATGGATATGTACGCTAATTCATGATTATGCCAACTACTCTATACCCAGAGACTGCGCTAAATTTTGAATACACCAAATTTTGTACATGTACAGTAATCCCCATATGTAGTTACGTACATATACAGTGATATAACGAAACATGTAATTGATAGACATGAATTTCATGAAAAATTTAATATATTTACAATCAATAGTAAAGAATCTAAACTATATTTCAAAAGGGTGGGTTTGTAAAGAACAGTATTGCTCAATAATCCATTAAGTTGATGATGGACAGACTGACAAACAATGCTAATGTGAATTTTGTGATGTAGTACTAGGAGAGATAGAATGGCAGGATGAGAACGGGCAGAGTGAGTCTATAACTTTATAATCACGCTTACTGCATCTGTGTGTTTGTCCCTATGGCAGAAAAGAGCAAGAAATCAAACATGTGAATGATATTGTTAAGAATATTTATAGCTTTTAAAGATTTTATATTTTGAACTTTCTTATAATCATTGCTTTTTTTAAATCTAATTTTGAAAGAAAAAAATAACTGTAATAAATGAGATTTTATTTACATGTATTATATTAGGTTTTATTACATAAGGTTTAATTTATATATAACTTAGCCTCTACATTAGAAAACCGTACTTCTTGCTCTTTCTGTTCAACATTATTGTTATATGTATTGATTGCAACAAGCATCGTTTGCACAGCAAAGCTGGAGATATTTGATATTCTTTTTGAGTTTTATCAAGTGAAACAAAAAGTGGTGATTTGTGTGCAAGATGCTTGTCAGTAGCATGTTCTGATCTATCACTCGGTGATAGTTGTATTGGTTTGTCATGCTAACATTCCATTTGTTGTTGAATTAACATGCTTTTATATGAACTGTCTAATATTGCATTACTTAATGTGCATGTACGTTACAAAATTTATAAAACATACCTGAATAATAATAATTAATAATTGCAATAATACTCTAATTTCTGAAATATTAAAGTCATAGGGGTCTAGAATATTGTTTTGGATCATAGAAACTATATTTCTAGGATCAAAGAATGAAAGTTACAACTGAACATAATGGTCTTTTTTCTGTTTGTGTCAGCTGTCAATTTTATGTTTGTACATGGTGTGTTAGGTTTCAACCCGTCCCCCCCTCTGTTTTCTATGCATTCACAGCAAATGCATTTACATTTTCTACACAATTCTTTGTAAATCTCTCTCCATCAGTCTATGGTTTGAAATCTAGATACTCTGTGCCTGAACATTATATGCATATCTTTTATTATACTGCAGACAAGAGAAAAAATTTGTGTATGTATGTATTGTAAATACATTATATAACAGATTTAAGTCTTTTAGTAGAGAAAATATTGTTTACAAAAAATTTGGCCAGGTTTTTTTTTTTTATTTGGCTAAAATTTTATAGATGCCAAGTTAATAAATTACAAGTAAAATGAATCACATTTACATAATAATACATAGGGAATATACACCCAAATTAACAAGAGACAGTATTTGACAAAGAGTTGACTAAGCCTAATACTTTCGTAATTAAAGTTGCATCTTCCTCCATTTTTTTGTCCATATAGTGCTTAAATTGGATGAGGATGTGTTTTCCGGTGGTATGGGTAAGTTGGGACTGCAATAATTCACTCTGTTTCCACAGCAACAAAAAATCATTTGTGTGTGGTTGTGCCTAATTGACATACATTTCTTGTGATGCAGTGTGTCAATTCACGCTTCTTTTCCAGTCTTCCTTTTCTTATGTGTCATATACTAAAGTTATTTCAGATAAGTTCTTTTTTTTCAAATTTTCTCTTGACTCTTGTGTGTAAAAAGTATTTTCTTTCAATTATTTGAAGAGAAAAATCTTTTCAACCCTGGGAAAAACTTTTTGTTCATTTTATAGTGCATAAAGTTTATGTAACATTTAATTATTAAAGAAATTAAAGGTTAAGAGGTTCTGGGGGATTTATTCAGAAGATAAAAGCAGAGGACAACAATTTGAAGCCAGAAGGTTGAGAGATTCAAGGTCATGGAGTAATATAACTAACTAATGCTAAGAAGGTAGAGAGGTTTGTGTTTCACACTTTCAGAGATACGAACAATTCATTTCTGGTGTTGGAGGTCAGAGTTCAAATCTAGGGACTTTTTTTCCAAATTTAGCTATGATAAATTATCAGAATGTGTGAAGGTGCTCTAGTTTATCATAAAAGATTTTTTAGATTTTTTATTTGGCTAAGTTCAGTGCATTCTACTGCAGCTAGCAAAAGAGAAAAATGTTAAATTGGAATTTCTGCTAGCTAAAGTACTCGTGTGGGATGGAATTTTATGTACAAGGAGAATTTTTTTTTTTTATAAACAAAGAATGTTGAATTATTTATTGATATGAAGAGTAAAAAGAATTTAGTTGTATTGTTTAATACCTTTTAGAAAAAAGCCAGTATTACTCCTGCCCTGGTATACAGTATACAGTATATGTCTATCAGAGAAATGGAATTTGTAGTGGAAGAGATTTACATTTGACAATACTCCTAAGATGATGCTTATGTGTATAAGAAATAGGAAGTGATTTAATGTTATCTGAAGTTTTGATCTGCATGGAAAGCATTTTGAAAAAAAATGTTAGTCTACTAAGTTTTATTCTATTTCCAGATTGAAAAGACATCTATGCAAACTCAGTTTGGCCATTGTTCATTAGCATTACATGTGTTGTAAGATGACCAACTCATGTATATTCTCTCCAGATATATTTTTTGGTGTTGTTATAAAAGTATTGTTAATCCTCTTTATAAATTATCCTTTCCTTGCACAAAATTCTACCGATGTGTAATCATCACATCTTACCAAAGTCTTGGGCAGTTTCCCTTCCAATCACCCTCTGAAGCTTGCACATTAAGTATGCTATTTGTTGCCACTGAAAATAAATATTTTGTCACTTTTCAAATATAATATTGATGAAGAATTCTTTTAGCTTTATGTCTTTAATTTCAGGATTTTTTTTAAGTATTGCATATTCTTTTGTTTACCTAAATAATAATATTTTTGCTTTTACAGAATTTTAATCTAAATGAGATTTAAAGTATTTTCTCTATTTCTTTATTATTGAAAAAAATATATTATATATGTTTCCATAATCACATTTTCCTAATTTTGTTTTTCATGATTCTAAATATGGGACCTTAGTATGAAATGTTGTTATTTATTATAGAACCCCAAGCAGGGCAACAAGTGGTGACCAAGGATGGTAAGACTGCTGTTGTGGCATCAGCCCAGGGTGGCCAAGAAGTGGTGACTGGTGATGGTAAAGTGGTAGTTCTACCACCTGGAAGTCAGGTGGTAACAGAGACACAGAGTGGTCAACAGCAAATAATCACTCCTGATGGCACTGTGGTTGTGGCAGCCAGTGGGCAAAAAGTTGCTGTCCAGCCCACAAAACCACCTGTTAAAACCACTGCTGATGGCAAGGTGATCGTTATAGACTCAGATGGTCAGGAAGTGGTGCAGCAGCCAGGTATACCTGTTGTTATGCAGGATGGACGAACTGTGATGGTGGACCCAAAGACAGGTAGACAGGTGGTCAAGCAAACTGTGGTAGTGGTCAATCAAAACAATCAGATGATTAATGAGGATGGTAATCTAGTCAATGAGAAAGGTCAGTTGATCAACCCTGAAGGTCAAGTGGTGGATGCTTACGGACGGGTTCTGACTGAAGAGGAACTGGCGCAAGCTAATGCTGTGGCTGGGGAAACAAAGGTACGGGAATTAGGAGGAAGAAGCTGAGCAAAAAAAAAATTTCTTATTTTAGTTTTCCTTTTTGATTACTTTTTTGACTTTCCTCTGCAGAGTATTTAAAACTATTACTTAAGAAATGCAGTTTCTCTCTCTCTCTTTCTCTCCCTCTCTCTCTCTCTCTATATATATATAAGGTTGTTGAGACATAAGTCAGGACTTTCTGTTTATTAGGTGATAATAAAGACTGTGACAAATACAGAATACATCAAAACTACAGAGTTTGTAGAGGTGGAAAAAACAGCAGGGCCAGATTCTGTGTCTGGTGCAGATCTTCCTGAAGGACCAGGTATGGCCTGATAACATTCAGAACAATTGAAAAAGTGATTAAATGACCCATAACTAATAAATTTGCAATTGCGGTGCTCTGAATTTGTAAAATTGTTTACATGCTTCATAATATAAACGTATATATATGGTATTTCTTGTCTATAGTTGTTGCTGGCACTGAGGGGTTGAAGACAGATGAAAAAGTAAGTCAGTCATTTTCTCACAATTGGCACTGTTGTTAATTATGATCACCACTCTGTCTATTCCAGTGGATGGCAGTTTGATATAATTTGTAATGTGATTTTATTTTTAATGATCAGGAATATGAGGAGGGTACAGCTATAATGGTTGGTGGAGCTCCTGTACTTGAACATGAGGGTCCAATTGCTCCTAACTCCTCCCCTACCCAATCTGGTATGCAGGACCAGATGAAACTCCACCAGGAGGAAGCTTATAGGAGGTAGGGATTGGACCTTAGTAGATTTACAGGAAGTATGGGATTGGACCTTAGTAGATTTACAGGAGGTAGGGATTGGACCTTAGTAGATTTACAGGAGATTGGATTGGACCTTAGTAGATTTACAGGAGGCAGGAATTGTACCTCAGTAGATTTACAGGAGGTAGGGGATTGGACCATAGTAGATTTACAGGAGGCAGGAATTGGACCTTAGTAGATTTATAGGAGGTAGGGATTGGACCTTAGTAGATTTATAGGAGGCAGGAATTGTACCTTAGTAGATTTACAGGAGGTAGGGATTGGAACTTAGTAGATTTGCAGGAGGTGGAATTGTACCTTAGTAGATTTACAGGAGGTGGGATTGGACCTTAGTAGGGGATTGGACCTTCGTAGATTTACAGGAGGTAGGGATTGGACCTTAGTAGGGGATTGGACCTTAGTAGATTTACAGGAGGTGGGATTGGACCTTAGTAGATTTATAGGAGGTAGGGATTGGGCCTTAGTAGATTTATAGGAGGTGGGATAGGACCTTAATAGATTTACAGGAGGGGGTATTGGACCTTAGTAGATTTATAGGAGGTGAGGATTGGACCTTAGTAGATTTATAGGAGATAGGGATTGGACCTTAGTAGATTTACAGGAGGTGGGATTGGACCTTAGTAGATTTATAGGAGGTAGGGATTGAACCTTGGTAGATTTACAGGAGGCAGGAATTGAACCTTAATAGATTTACAGGATGTGGGGTTGGACCTTAGTAGATTTATAGGAGATAGGGATTGGACCTTAGTAGATTTACAGGTGGTAGGGATTGTAGCTTAGTAGATTTACAGGAGGGGGTATTGGACCTTAGTAGATTTATAGGAGGTAGGGATTGGACCTTAGTAGATTTATAGGAGGTAGGGATTGGACCTTAGTAGATTTACAGGTGGTAGGGATTGTAGCTTAGTAGATTTACAGGAGGTGGGATTGGACCGTAGTAGATTTATAGGAGGTAGGGATTGAACCTTGGTAGATTTACAGGAGGTAGGAATTGGACCTTAATAGATTTACAGGATGTGGGGTTGGACCTTAGTAGATTTATAGGAGGTAGGGATTGGACCTTAGTAGATTTATAGGAGGTAGGGATTGGACCTTAGTAGATTTATAGGAGGTGGGATTGGACCTTAGTAGATTTATAGGAGGTAGGGATTGGACCTTAGTAGATTTATAGGAGGTGGGATTGGACCTTAGTAGATTTATAGGAGGTAGGAGGTGTGGCAAGAGTGTAGGGGATGTGGGTGTTCTCCAAGTGTAAGGGATGTGGGTTTTGTCCAATGAAAAGTGGGTACTTTCTTACATGTTGAATACAGGTCAAGTTTGATAACCAAGCTCTTAATATTGATTTAAAATCCACATGAGTTTCAAATTCCTTTATGATATATGGTTATTGACTAATTTTGTCAACTCCAATTACTTGCATTTACAATGTACATGTATTTTTATATAATATGGCAATGTTGTGTATTTGTTTTCATAAAGATTCACTAGTAGGAAAATATAGATAATATTCAGATGCATTATAGTTGGAGTTCTGATGATGAAATCAATTGGTTTAGGTTACAAGAACTGGAAAAGCAAATGGTTGGTGGAGAGAAAAAGGATGATAAAGCAACCAAAGAAAGGAGGCGGAAACGAAAATTGTTTGCTGATGAGAGAAAGCAGAAGCTTGCAGGTATTGCCTCAGACTTTTATAGACTAGTACATATATATGTTCTGTAGATCATCAAATTTTTACAAGACTTATTTTTCACTAGAATTTGATATTTATAAGCAACACAAAATTTTCACAAAGTTTTCCTTTTGTTGGTAAATTCTATACTAATAAAAAATATATGCGAGAATGAAATTTTCCACAAGCAGGTGATCTCAAAAATAAAGTTCTAGCAAAATGAAAAGTGATTTACAGTAATTATATATCTACTGTATGATAAATTAGCCAATAATGCGAGTAATTTTAAGGAAATACAAGTATTATCATAATCTGATTGTATATTTCAGAGGCCATTGCTAATATGGATGATGATTTCATTCTCCTCCAAATTTATGATGAAACTCAGGATGAAGTCAGAGACAAAGATTTGGAAGTCAGGAAAATAGAAGCAAAGGTAGACCTGTAGTTTAAAGAGTCAATACCGTATTTGGCTGAATATAATACGCACTTTTTTCCCAAAATAATTGTCTGTGAGAAAGGGGTGCATATTTTACACCACAATGGGATTTTGATAGGTTTTTCTTTCATGTGAAACACGGATATCATACGCACATACCGTAGTATTACCTAGAGACATATGCAATTTCTTGCTGTTTATCGCCGCATTTAAAACTTCGGAAAGTTATTGTTGAAATGTAGGCTTGTTAAAAATGTTATATTTATAACCTTTTGATAGTTAAATTAAATTTAAAAGCAAGTTAAAATTAATTTGAGCTGCATGTTCACCGTTTCCGTGTAGACCGCCATTGATGTTATTTATAGATGTTCACACATTCCTTTGCCACGTGCTTCCGTAATCATAGTACACATGTACCTAATCAGTCAGACACTGGTCAAAAAAGTAATGTCATTTTTTAATGAAATACAATACAATAAAATTTATTTTAGGTTTTAAATAACTCAGTGAAAATTCATTTCAGCATAAACACCCCTCTATACGTCCCAATGAATGGAAGCCAATGTTGTGAACACGTGCGCTTGTCACTTGATAATTACCCCTCAACACCCCTCCAGGCAATTAAATTGTTTACCAACTCCAAAGCATTGTTTTTACAGTTAGAGCACTGATTATTTACTGCCCTTATTAATGGCTTTGATTATTTTCTTTGTTAAAAATCGGGGGTTGGTTTATGATCTTTCGTATGTGATTACGACACATTAAACAGTTAAACGCTTGTTAAATGTAATTTTACTTTATCTAATATCGGCCTCGTGTTAAAATAATTGAGAGTTAAGAAAGGAAATATGAAGTATGTTGAAACTTAAGTGTTATCATTTACTCGTGCTCTGTAGAAAATAAGATATCCACGAAGATTACCTCGATGTATGAAGACATATATCCCACCTTTGTACATCATTTTTCACAGCTTTGGAGGTGTGTTGATAACTTTACACGCTTGTTAAATTTGATTTTATTTTTATAACAGTTATTTATTTAATTAATTAATTTCAAGTTCAAAAGAGGAAAATCGTAGTCTATGAATACTTTGATGTTGCAATATCGCTTGCCCTGTTAAATTTACGTAATTTTCAACATGATTACCTTAAACTAAAAATAAATATGACAACTGTTAAACTTGCAACAATATCTTGTGCTTTGTTGAAATAAAATTATTTCTACAAAGAATAGTTAGAATACGGCGACGTATAGTTTCAATATCACCGTATGTTAAAAATTTAATAATAAACTCTGTTAATACTTTAATGCAACATTATCTCGTGCTTTGTTAAAATAAATAATTTCTCCAGATTGCCGCGATATGGAAAGTCAAGAATAAGAAATAAAAACGCATTTGAATAAAATATCATGTTCTGTAAATTTTCGGCACTTTATCTCCGTGCCGATTTCCATAGCAAATTACCGCGATTTTCAAAAGTTCAGAACACCGCTTGGTAAAATTTTCTGCTGCGTATAATACAACCAAACTGCGTTTTTCCCCCCAGTTTCAGCTCAAAAAGGGGGGTGCGTATTTTACACCAATGCGTATTATATTCGGCCAAATACGGTAATTTAATTCTTATGTTACCTACAAAGCAGTTCAACACTTTGGGATCACTTTGACCAGCATCTATCTATATGTATGTCATCTCTTCTATAGTAAGAGATAGGGAAGTGATGGTATTCTCAAGATTTTTTTTTGGTTTTCAGAATGAAAGTTTGCAGAGAGAAATCATTGATATACAGTCTGAGTTCCAGTTTGAGAGAATTGATTACTTGGACACCATTAGAAAACAAGAGAAGGATTTGGCCCTTCTGCAGGCTTTGCTGGATAAGATCCACCCTTGTTTGAGACGTGACTGCAATTATTACAACCTTGACAAGGTCAGACGGGAATGTAAGTGGGATGATGATGATGGAAAGTGGATCCTCCCCCGCATGTCCATCAATAACACAGCCCTGTCTGTAGCTGGTAGGTGGTGGTTTTTGTTGAAGTTCAGTGTTTACCTTTGATTAAATCCTGTTAATGTAGATCTAATTTTACAACACAGTGTGTATTAAGAGGAGAAAAAAATAGCACATATGAATTATACTTTTTGTTATTTTCAAATGTCTTACATGTTTTTTAGTGTTTATTTATTTGTCACACATGTCACATCTAACACATGTGTACTTGAAAGTTTTCCATATATACTGTTTGCGTGATCCAAGAGACACATACTTTAAATTAAAAGATGTGAACCTGATTATTAAAAGATATTTACTTATATCTTTGTTGGAACTACAATGTACTTTAAAGTTTTGTGCACTTCTTCACAAAAACTTTCATCCAATATTGGTGAATGCACAAAGATTAAATTTTTTTATGGCTTTTTATGATCTTGCTCAGCCCTTACATATTCTTCTTATACCTGGTAGTTATCATACTCTAATATCAAGTTAATTTTAGTTAGAAATTTATTTTCATGTACCAGCTCTTTCAATTATGTATATAATTATTTATTGGTATTAGAAGACATTAATCTTTAATCCCCTTAAACAGTTAAAGGACTCATCCATGCTTCCAATATTTTAAAAAAAATTGTCAGAAACTATCGTATTAATTTAAATTTTAGATTCAGGTTGAAAATATGAATCCTAGCTGTTCAGCCATTTTATTAATTTGTTAAAGTTATCTGGTATTAGTGTATCTCAAATTTATCAAAAACTTTAACCATGAAACTGGACCATCAGTACATACATATGAATAAAACCAATATGCAGAGATCATCTACTTCCAGTCATGTCAGGTCAAGGACATATGTGATGAAAGGTCAAAGTTATATTTACCACACATGAATCATTGCTCCGCTGAAAAAGCATTTTTCAAACATGTTTAAATCTACAATATTGACTAATTCTTTTAACAAATCTTTAGGTGTGTTAACACTTTTGAGGTCTTCAGAAGTTTGTTTCCACATTGTATTAATTTTGTACACTATAATAATAAGAGCAACAAATCAAAACTGAGTAACAATAAAATAACTGTGTTGAAAAAAAAAAACTAACATTCTAATTTAACATTGTCTATTGTAACAGAAAATGGAATCAGTTCTGCACCGAGAATAAATCATGGTAATTAAGATATGCTTTTGGAAAATGAATGGTGTCGGCATGCATTAAAAATACATTCAGTGTATAATAATATTGTTTTCTGTGTCTTAACAAAGCTCATATTATTCCCTATTAGCTCATTGTTGATATATTGCTAGAACTAACTCAAAATCTTTTTACCCTCTGATCTAGGGCTGGGCAATAATATCGATATTCCAGTGTATTGCGGTACAATGACAAAAAATATCGTATTGCAATATGTTTTTGCAGTACCGATATACCGGCAAAGTGCTTGGACTCAAGATTTTTATGATAAAATATAAAGTATAAGTTGACAGAGACATTTGGGATCGTGCCAAACAGTATAAGGCAAAAGCTGTTTTATGGTTGTATTTCGATGTATAACTGTAATTAAATCAACAAAATATTATTCCTTGGTCATTTATCATAGATTTTGTATATTCTGCATGTAAATGTAAGTTCATATGATAAATTACCATTTTAATTTTTTTGGAAAATATTGCAATACATATCGCAATACAGTTAAAAATGCCGCAGTATATGTCTCAGTACGAAATCTCTAGCCAATACCCAGCCCTACTCTGATCTTTTTGCAATCTCTGTATCTAACTGTATGCTTCCTTATTGTTCAGCTAACTCTGCCATTTTTGATTTTTGATAGATACTGAAATGAGAACTGGATATGAATCAGATGGTATTTACACAGCTGTTTGGGATTTTCTCTTGCATTATAAAAGCCATTATACATTTTCTTACATACTTTTATATACAGATCGTAGTATATGGAATATATTAAGCTAAACTTTGTCGTTTTGTATCAGTAACATCTTAAATTAACTTTTGTCAGCACTAGCGAGCATGATTTCCCATGTAATTTGCACCCTTTTTGTTTGTATGTGTATATTTTTAGATTGCACTATAGTGGTGTTAATGGTGTTAGTTATGCACCGGTACATTAAAATAAACCTACATGTAAATAAGTTGATCTGGGGTTTTCTCAGCTGCAGCAGAAATACAATTGATATTTGAAATATCAGTTGCAGTATTCATTGTTTTATGTATCAACCAAAAACTGGCATTGATGTCTTAATTACTTAGAATATCTGACTAGATGTATAACATTCCAAAATGATGCTTGTGGAGCACAACTTTATCTAAAGAAGCACAAACTTTAAGAATGATCTGGCATCATTTCTTGTACACAAATTTGTCAATAATTTTATTTCTCCTTTGCTATAAATTCCTTTTTAGCTCACCTGAGCTGAAAGCTCAAGTGAGCTTTTCTGATCACATTTTGTCTGTAGTCCATCTGTCTGTAAACTTTTCACATTTTCGACTTCTTCTCCAGAACCACTGGGCCAATTTCAACCAAACTTGCCACAAAGCATCCTTGGGTAAAGGGGATTCAATTTTGTTCAAATGAAAGGCCACACCCTCTTTCAAAGGGAGATAGTAAAGAATTAGTGAAAAATTAATAGCATCTTTTAAAAATCTTCTTCTCAAGAACCACAGGGCCAGGAAAGAAGAAACTATGTGGAAGCATCCTCAGGTAGTGTACATTCAATTTTGTTCAAATCTTGACCCCCAGGGGTAGGGCGGGGCCACAATGGAGGATCAAAGTTTTACATAGAAATATATAGGAAAAACCTTTAAAAATCTTCTTCTCAAGAACAGCAAAGTCATGATGAGCCATATTTATATGGAAGCATCCTGAGGTAGTGTAGATTCAAGTTTGTTCAAATCATGACCCCTGGGGGTAGGGAGGGGCCACAATGGAGGATCAAAGTTTTACATAGAAATATATAGGAAAAACCTTTAAAAATCTTCTTCTCAAGAACAGCAAAGCCATGATAAGTCATATTTATATGGAAGCATCCTCAGGTAGTGTACATTCAATTTTGTTCAAATCATGACCCCCAGGGGTAGGGCGGGGCCACAATGGAGGATCAAAGTTTTACATAGAAATATATAGGAAAAACCTTTAAAAATCTTCTTCTCAAGAACAGCAAAGTCATGATGAGCCATATTTATATGGAAGCATCCTCAGATAGTGTAGATTCAAGTTTGATCAAATCATGACCCCTGGGGGGGCCCAATGGAGGATCAAAAGTTTTACATAAGAATATATAGAAAAAATATTTCTTCTCAAGAACAGAAAAGCTGTGTTTAGTCATATTGATATGGAATTATCCTCAGGTAGTGTAGATTCAAGTTTGTTCAAATGATGACCCCTTGGATAGGGAGGAGCCACAATGGGGGATCAAATTTTTACAAAGGAATATATGGGAATTTTTTTAAAAAATCTTCTCAAGTACAACAAAGCCATTTGTTATATTGACATGGAAGCATCATCAGGTAGTTTAAAATTCAACCCCCCCCCCCTCCCCGTTAATCTTTTCAATACTGAACTGTTTTGTGCTTTTGCCTAGCCAATGTGCTCAGGTGAGCGATGTGGCCCATGGGCCTCTTGTTACTATTCACTTCTGTGTTCTACATTAGTGATATTTTACAGGTGAATTGCTAATTAGTAGAATTTAATAATTTCCCCTTTTCCTTTTCCTATATTACTTAATTATTCATCAGTGTTATAATTGGTCATATTGCCATATTGAAATATATTGATTAATTATTTTAAATATGCTGGATCTCTTGTTACCATTTTAAAAGACTTGATGCATTTTCAAAGGGAGAAACATTCATTCCAGATGTCTTTTATTTAATCAATAATGGTCTTATAAACAATAATACTTATACTAAAACTATTCAGTAATCTAAGGAAAATATTAACCATATAGATTGTGAAGAAACAAAACCTTAAAGTTTTTTTCTGACATGACTTTTTCAGAGGGTGTAATGCCAGGGGGACGTCAGATGGAGGGAAGAAGTAGACCAAGACTCTCCAATGGTGACGTGCAGCCCAGTATCTATGACAACGAGGAGGATCGCTTCAAAGAGGTGTCAAATATTACCTTAGAGTTCAATTCAGGCAATTCAAAATGAAGATTCATAATTTTACAGCAGTCTTTTAGCTTATCCACTTTAAATACTGCACATGTACACTCTGAATCTAACCTTGTTTATCAAATTTCGCTCAATTTTACTGCGTATAATTTTGATTAATATATATACTGTATACAGGGATGTTTTCACCCTTTCACACTTGAAAACAATTTTGCCCATTTTGAATTCGCCCAAACACAACAATGCTGTTTTTCTTTGAATTCGCCCCATTTTCAATTCGCCCAGTTGCGACGAGGGCAAAAGGGGCGAAAATGAAACTGGGTGAAAATTTCTCTGTATGCTGTACTAACAAGCAGTCATTTAAGCACCCAATCACCCTCTTTTTAGGTCACTGAGTCACTCAGGTGACCTATTGCTGTTTTTGTCCATCATTGTGCGGGTGTGTGTCGTGCGTAAACTTTCAACATTTTCAACTTCTTCTCAAGAACCACTGGGCCAATTTCCACCAAACTTGCCACAAAGTATCCTTGGGTTAAGGTGATTCAAGTTTATTCAAATGAAGGGTCATGCCTTCTTCCAAGGGGAGATAATTAAAAATTAGTGAAAAATTAATGGTATCTTTTAAAAATCTTCTTCTCAAGAACCACTGGACCAGGTAAGATGAAACTTATTTGGAAACATCCTCAGGTAGTGTAGACTCAAGTTTGTTTAAATCATAACCCCCAGGGGTAGGGTGGGGCCACAATTGACTATCAAAGTTTTACATAGAATTACATAGAAAAAATCTTTAAGAATCTTCTTCTCCAGAACCACTGGGCCAAGAAAGATGAAACTTATGTGGAAACATCCTCAGGTAGTGTAGATTCAAGTTTGTTCAAATCATGACCCCCAGGGGTAAAGCGGGGCCACAATGGATGATCAAAGTTTTACATGGGAATACATTGGAAAAATCTTCTTCTCCAGAACCACTGGGCCAAGAAAGATGAAATTTATGTGGAAACATCTTCAGGTAGTGTAGATTCAAGTTTGTTAAAATCATAATCCCCAGGGGTAGGGTGAGGCCACAATGGACAATGAAAGTTTTCATTGGAATTCTTTTCTCATAAGAACAACAAAGCCATGATTGGTTATATTTACATGGAAATATCCTCAGGTAGTATAGATGCAAGTTTGTTCAAATCATGACTCTGGGGATAGGGTGGGGCCACAATGGATGATCAAAGATTACAAAAGCTTCTTCTATCAGATTATTTTATTCTCTATGGATCCTCTATGGATTGTTGTTTTATACTCAGGTGACTGTAAAGGCCCTTGGGCCTCTTGTCTCAGTATATTATATATTTTTAAGTACTTTTAAACTTGTTTCAAAATAATTTCAAATTTTTTGTTTTCAGAAAATTATGAGGAGGGAGGACAACTCCAGTAAATATTTCCAGGGAAAACGAGCCAGCCAGCTTCTACAGTCCAACGAGCCAATTAACAGATTCAGTATGCATATCATTTCCGAATTTCTTTACGTAAACATTACTACAGTGAAACTTGTCTAATCTGGATGTTTGGTACGAAATCCAACATATTGTCTATTACGATGAAAACGTTAAGTACCTTTTGCTAAATTCAGTTGTATAAAATGTTGTGTAATCTGGAATGTTGTCCAATCAGGCTAATTACTAGGGAACCAGTGGTGTCCAGATTAGACAAATTTTACTCTACTATAAAAAAATGTTCAAGGGTGGGGCAGCTGGTAGTCATTGGACTGCCATGGTAATTGTTTATCAGTCCATCCTATTAAACGAATAATGTTAATGTTATGCATTAAATGAATAATGTTAATGTTATGCATTAAATGAAACACATTATAAAAAATTTTAAATTCTTTATGGCAATTTACAAATAAAAATTGATAGAGGTATTTTATGAACACACCCAATATAAAGTAAATACATATCTCCTTAGATATCAGTGAAGTAAAGGATGCGTACAGCTTGAAGAGTCCACGAGGATCCATGACCAATGGTCACATGACGGAGGACCCAATGAGTTCTGGACTGCGGGCAGCTGCCGTCCATGGTCAGTTATTGCAGGAGGACTCCATGGTCCGAAAACCTACACGTTTAGATGCCCTGCCCTCTGTTAACACAAAGAAGGGCAAAAAGAAGAAAAATGCCCTTGGCCCCTTGTGATGAAGGTCCAACATTATGTCATTCTAGAGATTAAGGGTTAAGATGCAATCTATATTTGTATTACAGACTTTTTAATTCTATCTGACCAGATATTTATTGCTGAAAGTGGAATTCAGGTGATTTCTGAAAGGAGCTGATGTTGACCTGTTTTAAGAGATGTGATTTTAATTGTCAGTCATTGAAATGTTTCAAAAAAAAAATGCAGGGAATAAACAAATAGATCATTGACACATAATTACATGTAATTATTATCAGCAAAAGTCCTCTATTTTAATTGAGTGTAAGTAAAATCAGTATTTTCATACTCTCTAGCTTGGTGTAACTTTCTAATGTTCTTGCCATCTTTATATTTGTATGAAGTTTTTTTTTCTTATTTAAGTATACAGTAGCTAATGAAGTCAAAACTTCACTATGAGGCATCTCTAAATATTTTATAGCTGTACAGGGTTTATATACACTCATCTCATGACATTTCCTGTAGCACATGTGGTTAGTTCCCATGTAAATACAATATTTCTCCTGATAAGACTAAGTGACCTTCATAAATCAATAAGTATTGCAAAATATTTTACAAATTTCAAGTCATTGTAAATTGATAGATGTTAAAATGTGATTATTATATCCCACTCCGAAGGAGAGAGGGGTATACTGTTTTACCCTTGTGTGTGTGTCTGTCTGTATGTCTGTAACAAATTTTGGTCGCAGTTTTCTCAGCAACTACTCATCACAGATGCTTGAAATTTTAGCACACTCTTTGTTTTGGCATGCCATATGGCGGGAATCATATTTGCATGAATCAAATGTCAACTTCTTGTTTATCCCTGTGACTGTCCATAACATTATATTCACATGAGAGCATATATTCACAACAGAGTGGGGGTATTACTAGTGAGCACTGGCTCACAGAATTCTTGTTTGCAATGTGTTCACATATAGATTATTATGTTACTATTATCTAAAGAAGATTAATGTCCATACAAGCATTAGAACAGTTGGTACTCAATCTTGGAATTATGAAATAGTTATTGTTTGTATAACCAAAAATTAAAAGAGTAATTAACATCTTTTTTATGTGCAGGTTGGTGCATGCAAATATTATATTCTATTTTGAGTAGTGCACAGTAAAATTTTTGGAAAGGAATTCTTTAGTATGATGTAGACTGCTGTGATAAATATACATTTTATATATAATCATTGTGGTGATAACTGTCAAACTTGGGACTATACATTGGCCATGAAATTGTCTTTCATAAAATGCATGAAATCCGTCCAAGACATTGTCAATTGTTGATTATTTCAAATTTTATCAAATCAGTTGTATAATTTTACTGAAACATTTTGTTTGTTGATGAGTCAATATGTACATTTGTATAGCATTTTATATTTATTTTACACTATGTGATTTTAGATTAATTAGGTAACATTAATCTCAATCACTTTTTCTTTTTTTTAAGTTAATGTTTTAGTTTATGATAAAAATTGTTCTAGTGGTTGGATACTTGGGTGCAATTTATTAACAATTAAAAGTGCTAGATATCCATTATCACCAAGCAAATCTCACAATGCTGGCATTCCTTTATTGTGATGAAATACTGTATTACAGCAAACATTTGGCTATAAGAAAAAAAAAACATTAATTGAAGGGTTTGGTTTCTTTTTTATGTATATTATAGCATTTATGATTTTGTCTTTCAGTCATTGTAAAAGTTCTTGTCCACAAAGAATACCGATAAATGGAGTAGATTTTTGCTCATTTTCCAATAGGATAAGATTTAAATTCCTGTTTCAGTAGAGGAATCCTCTAAATTTGGGAAAGCTCTTTGAACTAGTACATGCTTTACAAATCTTTGAATTCTTTAATTCATTCCTTTAAGTATTGGATGTTTTTTTTAAGGACAAAAAAAACATGCATTCTGCATTTTCTAATAATCTGACAATAACTCATGAAAACTTTGCCCAAATGACTTAATTTTTCTTACCTCTGAGTTTTATTTTACTTATTTGTTTAATTAATATATAGCTATGTGTGTTTAATGTTGTGTTCCTTCAGGTTATACTTACAATCCGTCCAAACTGTACGTTGATTTTTATTTAATGACTTTGAGAAAATGAAGTTGATGTTTTGTGATTACTTTATCTTGCAAGTCAAAACTTGTCGACAAATCCATTTTTCCTTATATAATGGTGGCACGATATGTATCTGTTGACATTTGTCATCCCAATCATCACATGATGTTGTCTCTTCATGAACACAGTATTTATAGATGTAGAAAATGACCTTGTTGTTCAAGTTTGTCAATAAAATACTTCTGTTTTTCAATGAATTTTGCTTCATTTATATAAACTATAAAAAATAAAATTTATCAAGGGCAGTGCAGAGTGGAGCATATCAAGAACATTGTTACACTAGTCACAATGACCTACATTTGGGTCATCACACCCTGAGGTTACAAAATTCTTCAACTGAAACAAAATTGTCTTAGGCTACAGAGTCCAGGACATATATCAAAATACAATTTGAAAATGAAAAGCATTTAATTTCCAAACGTAGGACGTGGTGACCTACTTTTGGGTTGTCACACCCTTTGATTCCAATCAAATGACAAGGTTTCATCATCGTTGAAAATAGCTATAAAACTTGTCAAGTTATTCACGGTGACCTTCTTTTATGATGTCCCTCCCTGGAGATAGAAATGTGTCAACTGTATGACTTTGCAGTAGCACAAAAAATATCTAATTTGAAGTCATTTTTCTTTAATAAACAGTAGTGACCTTGGGACTATACATTTAACTTTCATTTACATATCACAATATCTCTCATATAAGTAATATCTCGTTCAATCCAATGCTGTGACAAATTTGATGAATATTGTGCGAGATTCGAGAGATACAATTCCTCTCCCAGAGAGATTAACACATCACAGCCCACAAATGAACATACATATGTAGCATAAATTGTCTAAGCTTTCAGCTCAAAGCTACAGAAATGCATATATGCAAGATGGGTAACACATCTTATTGTTCCATGTTGGCTGCGATTTTTGAGTTACCTTTTTTGGTATTTCTCAAATTATCTCCCTTGTTAAATGGCTACATCTCTCATTTTAAAATAAAAGTTTTAGATCCATGGACGCTCAGTGTAAATTTTGATGAATATTGGCCAAGGGGCCGTTGAAACATGGTCCATTTTCCATGAAATTTAGGCACACTGCATACAAATGGCCACGGCGCAAGCTCTCCAAGAGTTCATCTCTGATGAACTTGTAACAAGCAACCCTCATAAGTTAGATCTCAACTCCACAGTGTGTCAAAATCAATGTAGAGATCATTTTTTATTAGCATTTGGATAATCATCTACTTGAGTTGAAACTGTCAGATTTTATCAAGAGTTGAGGGTTTCTTTGAACGAATGATGAACACTCAAAAGAGCTTAACTACATATGTGCTTGTCGATTTGCACCTCAATGTTCTTCTGTGGAAAAGAATGCACAATTGCATATCAGGTTCAAGAACAGAGAAAATCCACCTAGCAGGTAATACATATTTACACATAAATGAACATTTTCAGAAGACTTTTTCCCAACACCAACTGTTCTCTACAAAGCTGCCACAGTTCATAATGCTTAACTACAAACTTCTTAAATAGAAACACATTCCTCAAGTTGATTTTTATTATAAAACATAATGCATGTATATAATATTCTTTCCATAATTTTCCATTGAAATTATACATTGGGCAGTGGATTACAATACAATTAAAAAATTTTAAAAAAAAATGTAAATATCTTATTTTAAAAACTAAAATAAAAAGAAAGACAACTGTAGTTGGAAGGACTGTAACTCTCATAGAGGGTCCTGAACTGAGCCCAGTCTATGGCACAGGAGTTATATCCATCTTTGGTTTCCAAGGACTCAATCTGGATCAGATGAGGCCTTCCAAGGACTCAATCTGGATCAGATGAGGCCTTCCAAGGACTCAATCTGGATCAGATGAGGCCTTCCTTTGCATTGGATTCCTTCTTTGCAAAGTACCCCTCTAATCTTGTGACAGCATACTCCTACAAAAATTATTATATAATGCAAGATCAGAAAGAATTTCAATTATTCCTCTTGAAACTGCTATCAATGTAAGTAATCAGGTTATCTTTCAACACACCTGTAATTTATAGGTGATTTTTCTATGCCTCAAAATGAAAAGAAAGCTAGGTCACAAAAGTATTTTGCTTTCAAGTTCTAGAACCCTTATTTTACTGATCAGGTAATCTAGTGACCTATAGTGTATTTAAGATGTTTGATTTCAAGAAAAATTTCCATTACATTGTCATAAAATCATATTTTACTTGATTTAAAGATTTGCTTTTACACCCCTACTTACCAAGTATCCAAACTCAATGTCTGAGATTTCTAACTGAACAATGGACCACAATGCCCAAAAGAAATGTGATGTCATGGCAAAAATATTGGCTTCTTTGTACATTTGTTTTAATGTGTCTTCATTTATCTCTACAGGAACAGGAAGGTTCTTAGTTTGCTCCACTAGATAATTACGGAAAAACTCATACTGTAACAAATAAAAATTATAGATTATGTAATGACAACCTACATAATTGCATACATGGAAGCATTTCAGTATATGAATGGAAAATTTTCAATGTTGTAAATTACATCAAACCATGTGATAACTCTTACATAAAAGTATGACATTATATGCTCATTGTATGTATGATTTATACAGGTTTATTCAAAGGAATTCTTCTTATCAAGTAGACTGCATAAATACATGTAACCCGTAAGTGTGAGTTTCCACATTAGGTTATATGTATACTGTAGTGTTATAAAATCCTTTCACTTTACAGAATGTGCCAAAAAAAAACACAAAATGACAGCTGTTATTCTGCTCCCTGAAGGATCAATAAAATAATCCGGTCCAAGGTACTAACCTGTCTTTGTGTAGAGGGATAATCCTCGGGATGATACGAGAAATATGGATATTCTTCACATGAATAATCACATGACCATTCACAAAAATGATTGCCAAAATCAAATCCTCTGTAACAAAGAAAGAGAGAAAAATCTAAAACGCTTATTAAAATAGATTTTCACAAGTTAGGGTTATAATCCTCTAGAAATTAGAGTGATGTATCTTTGCAAAAGTCACAAAAATATGTGTCTTCTTACCTGTAATTATAGCTGCCGTATTCCCAATCAATTACTGTTAGTCTCTTGTCTTCATCTGGCTCATCTTCTATTAACAATATGTTACCTACAAATCAAACAACCCTACCTTATTACAGCTGCTGTTTATTTATTTTTTTTTTCATAAAAGTAGTTACATATAAAAATAACAGAGAAATTTTTTTAAGAGTACATAATACTGCTATATCATGTAAGGCCAAATAAAAATATATGTGTGGTTCCGGTTACCCGACCTTCCCTATTTTATACCCCCAACCCTAAACTTTTTTTTGGCAATTTTCATATTTTTTCCGGAATTTTCCTCGATTTCCATCAATGGCCCCAGCTTAAGTTTTAGTTTCAGTAATGACGGCCTCCTTGCAAAACATAGTGCAAGTGTTCAATAGTGTTAAATCCAAAGCAAGCTAGCATGTAGGTGTCCCCTACCAATATTGACTAGTATATTATCACGCCAAATCTAAATGCCATTTGCAAAGCAGTGATAGGTATTATTTAGAAAAAAAATTAAGAAAATAATTTTGTTTAAAAAAAAAATTCCCTACCTACCTACCCTAATTTTTTTGGAAGTGTAACCGGAACCACACATATTTTTTTGTTTGGCCTAAATGGAAACTCTCACCCTCTGGCCATAAGGAACATGTAATGGCCAAGAGAGAATTTCATATAGCCAATTCCTATGATATCGATACATTCTAAATGGCCGTATTTCACATCCAAAATAAATCCTGATTATAAACAACTTTATGTTCAGTCTCTGCTTTCACTATCCCCATATTGAGAAAGTTAAGGTGCAAACAAATGACCTTCTTTGACCTTGACCTTATATAACATGCAAAAACCTATTTCTTCAGGGACGTCCTTAGACCATAATAGCAGCTATTTTATCAATGAATAGATTATAAAGGTCCCTATTCCAAAGTAATGGCCTACAGGTTACAGAGAGACAGACAGACATGTGATACTACACTTGTAAGCCTCCAAATCTTTCGATAATTTGCATATGTACAATTTACTTTCTGTATTTTCATATGCCAAATGTATAAGCAGCATCATAAATAGACAACTGGATCAAGTAGAAATACTTTGGACTTTGAATATATTATGCACTACTTGTCAATCAAGGACATTATGTCAACATAAACACAAAATATTCCAAATAACTCACCCTCTTGTAAATCATTGTGTGAGAATACCACTGGGGAGTGACAGTTTCCCATGATAGATCTGAAAGTACAAGTATGTAAGTACATGTATAACGATAGGTACAAAGTCCACTCTTTATAATGACTGAAGGAGGCAATTAACTTACATGCATAGTAGTAAATGCATAATAACTGTTAATTTTTTTTCTATAAAAAGGGGGTTTTATTTGCATAAATAGAGAAATGGTTGAGGATGGAGGAAAATGTATCAAAAATCTTCTAAATATTTTTTAAAATTCTCAATATAGTCAGTTGGGTCATTCAAATGCATGTTACTGGTTAAAATAAAGGTACTTCAATGTTTCAGTGTTCCTGTGATAACACCAACTTTCTTAAATAAAATTACAGGTCCCCCTGACTAGTGTTTCACAAAAAAAAAAAATAAAATACAAAAAATAAATACAGACTCTAAGCCAACTAGCCCACTCATTATTTTAAACCTGCTGATTCAGAATTTAAAGAAAAAAGAAAAAAATCTACATGCTGAGAATAAATATCAGTAGTTACTAGTAAGAGATGGAGGGTACACTTACAATAATTCTAGAAGCTCCTTCCTGAGGTGAAATGATTGTAACCTTCCCACCAGTGGGCAAGGGTTTTTTGTGGAGGCACTCTCTAGAATTTTTTCAACCTCTGACAACCACCTGTAGATTAAAACAAAATGTATGAATCAAAATTACATACAATTGTAGTAATATTCCTCTACCATAAAAGAACAAAACAAAATCAAAAGTGAGAACAAATGAATTTTCAAAATAATACAAAATAGTCCATAACATTCTCCCCATCTGGACTACATACAGGTGACTCTCGATGGCTCGAACTCCGATCTCTCGAAGTGAACCTCCGGTCCCGTTTTTTCCTTCTATATATAACTAAGCAAATTTACTTCTGATCTCTCGAAGTTCTCTATCTCTCGAAGCAAGACCTGGGTCCTGTTACACACATGTCATTGGTTTTTACTGTCTATCTCTCGAAGTTTTGATTGCGCATGTGTACACGCCAATCAAGCATAAAATTAATGCAGCTTGGACTTTCCTGGATAACAGTGAACGTCTGGGGCTGGCATGGAGGTGTTAATTGGGTGTTTACATAGATGACACTATACCTGTGAGCATCCGAGTGCTGATATAAATTGGTTATAATTGGTAAATTATAAACGGATTGCTTCACGTTGCTTTATTTTAACTTGACAACAAGACGATAATTCAAGAGACATGCCACACCGACGATCGCTATTCAGGTTTCATGTAATCATGAAATGGGAACAAATAAATACTAAAACTTAAAAAGATCATCTTATTTATTCAAAATACGATCATTGTTGTTGATATCAAGTGAATTACCTGTAAAATACGAATGAAAACGTGCAATGACATTATCAGCATAATTATACTTCTGGTATTTATAATAGTAGAACAAAGATGATCGGAACTGAAAATTCCGAATTTTATTCACTTTCTATCTCTCGAACCCCTCGATCTCTCGAACTTTTCTTGCGGTCCCTTGAACTTCGAGAGATCGAGAGTCACCTGTACATGTATATATATATTTTTTAACTAATAACATTATTAAAAAAAAAGATCAAAAGTGCAAGTATAACATTTTTAATGATAAAAAAAGATCTCAGTTAATTGGGTTAATTAGTTGCATTTCTAGTGATGAAGCCTGACTCCCTGATGAAGCATCTACTACATGTATTAATAGAACTACACACTCTATAGGAGTGCACTCTTACTCTCAAATAATGCCATGGACAGGACACCAACTCAGCAGTGACCCATTTCTCTGAAGAAGCCACACCCATGGATATGCCTTACTAGCCTCAGCAACACTGGCCATTGGGTAAGACAAATCTCTGAATGAGATGTTCATGCTCTTAACGGTCAATCCTACACATACAGGCACAAAAATTTTACAGCATACATTGTATACAGACACATTGCATCATGACCAATACTTACTCATTCATTTGCTTGCGTAGAAAATTTGGCTGCTTGGTTAGCGGCATCTCCAGGGTATGAAAGAACGCAAGTTTTTTGGCAATATGTTGTGAAAGTTTTGTGTCATGTAGTTCTATACGCTTTAGTGATCTAGACTGCAAAATAGAAACAGTACAATGATTACTGGATTTGTATTTAAAAAATACTACACCTGGTAATACATCTGTCAATGGATTTACAAGGTACAAAAATAAATGAATTTTTTGAAAATGGGCAGCTGCTACAAATATGCTACATGTATATATGACCCCTTTTTACAAGGAAGTCACTGGTCAAAGACAAACAAACAAATGATGAAACAAACAGAATATGAGTCATGCTGGTTCATGTCATTATTATGTTAAGAGAAAATTGTTACTATCAAGCCAAATTTTAAAGAGGTTTCAAAATCATGCATAAAATTACAGGAATGTATTCTTCTATTCTTCCCTCTGGGTACATCCCATACAGCTTTGGTCCTTTCTTCTTTTCAGAAAACAAAGCAAATATCACCGAGTTCCTGAGCATGTAATCATTTCTTTGAGCAATTTCACCATATATTCTCATAAGCACTTGAGAGGGCTCACTTTCCTCCGTTTCTGTTCCATCCGGCAAACAACAGAGGTATAGTCTATTTGTAAGTCCACCACTGTTAATAAAAATACCCAAACCATTTAAATAATATGGTAATAAAAATAATTGAAAAAGACTTAAATAAACCCAGGAAGTTTAATTGGTTAAATAAAAACAAATATATCTTATGTACATCTTTAAAAAATAATTTAAAAATGTGTTAATTATGAAATTTTCAGACGTCCTCATTGTAATATTTGTAAACATTCTTACTCATAGTTGTTTACAAGCATCTGCAATAACACGTGACAAGGTGACGTAACGCCCATATCAAACACAGGCCACGTAGCATGTTATCACTTAATCCTCTCAAAGAAATTAGTCAAATTGCACACATAACTATAATTTTTTTGTTTTAGTGTATACCTTATGGGTTTTATATCTATCTCTTCTTTTGATATTCGAGCCCAGGCGCCACCAATCGATTTCCTACACCACCTAAATGCCTTTTCATTGACATCTTCCATTCGATTTTCGCCCATTTTCCACCGAAGTCCTACATAGATAAATAAAGAGTTCAAAGTATGGACAAATTGTGAAAACGTGGACCAAAGATATCGTTTCATGACTGTCCTTAATTTGGTGTCAATGCGATAACAACTTTTCATATCTAACGACATGGTTATGCCTCTAACGTTCTATAGATCTACTTGTGTTTACTATTTATGACATACTGATCTCATCACGTGAGAGCTGGCGTGATTTGGTTCGTCGGTGTTTATCTACGCAATCGGAGTAAAATCCCGGACGCGGCAGCTTCAAGCATTTGTTCATGATAAAAGGACTAACATAAACACCATAAACACAAACAGGTTGTCGCCTTATTATCATCTTCGTTGCCTCCCGTGGCCAGAAGGCCAGGCCCATTACTGAGGTGTCGAGTTGATTCGCACCAACGTTTGGCTTGCTTCAGGTTGTTCTGCCCCAGTGGCTCGTAAACCTCATACACAATGTAAAAATCGACACAACAATATTCATTCTCGTGTCTTCTAGAATGCTCTAAGACATTTTAATTTTGAAAAGTGAGCTAGAATGTTTCAATAAAAATCGGTATCATTTTTTTGGGGGGGGGGGGCATAGAAATTTTTCCTTGTGTTCTTGAAAACTCAAAACTCAACAAAACGCGATTACATTTGTAACATTAAAAGCTGTTACATTTTGTAATATTTTTAACCATAAAATACATAACACAGGTAATGTAAAGTAACTATAATAGGGTTTCTCAATGCATGTATCGTCATTTTATTAGGTATTTTGTAGCGTACGTTACCCAATCATCGCGTTTCTCTCTCTCTCTCTCTTTAAAATATTTAATTTTCTACAGATTATGTCCATAGGGAAAAATCTGTCAGCGACCAACAGCATGCAGCCTATCTATATGCTAATATGAAATTTAAGACTGCTAACTAGGTTATAAATTTAATTAACATGCAATAAACATCATTCTTGAACACATTGTACATGTTGTAGAACATTATTCCTCCAAAAAGGACATGCTGTGCTCAGATGTTTGCAAGACACGCAGATAATGTTATTATTTAATTTTAGACAGGACTGGGTTGGTTCTACTTCGCAATGCCCGAGATTTACACAACCCAATTACTAACTGAATACTGGGTACATGTATGTATAAGCTTTCAATACAATCTATTACAGGCTTATAAATATGTATATTATAAGTACAAGGGTGTTTACTTACCTGTCTTCATTTCGTTAAATTTATTTTTTAAACCTGTACAGTTTAACTTAAATTTGATTTTACTGTCCACAGGCACCGTTGCCAAAAAACCAACAGAACACCAATTAAGCAAAACTGGAAATTTTCGGTTTCGACCGCTCTGAAGACTGTTTATAAAATATATGTGTTTTTTTAACGTCATTGGTTGCTTTGGATAAGTCATGCGTAATTTTAATTTTAGCGGAGTAAGCATGCTCTCATACCTTGTTAAAATAAAAGACTTCATCAAGGAAAATTAAGGAAGTTATTAATTTTTGAAAAATTATAAGGCGCGGATCTAGAAATTTTCAAAGGGGGTGGTCTGAGAGATTAGAGAGATTCATGCATGTTTTGATAGGAATGCTGACAATAAACAGAAAGAATTCGTTGAATAACGAAGTTGACATGCGATTTTACTACTGATAAACATTAATAACAACTGAAATTCATGCACAGATCTAGGTTCTAAGCCCCCCCCCCCCCCACCTCCACCTGGGATTTTGAGAGTTATTACATTTTGAAAGTAGTCATCTAAAAATGACTTTGACCCCCCCCCCCCCCAAGGAAACACGGACCCTCGTAAAATGGTAAGGAGAGAATTTGAAGGGCATTGACTCAGAAACGTGATTTAGTTGTCCTGTCGTCCACTACATCCATCCTCCAAAAAATGTCTTTTAGGTTTTGGCAAGTTGTTTACATTTTTGTTGTTCTGTTTTGGCCAAAACATTTCCGAGTCCGATATTTGTTCAGTGGGCGTGCCCCCCCCCCCTCCCCCCGGAAAAAATCCTGGATCCGCGCATGAAAATGACATAGCTAATCAAGGTTTTTATTTATGCAAATTTTTAAGGTACGTCCCCGTTAAATCCAGGACAAAGCTTTTGTGCTCGTCCAGGGGTAGAATTAAGCCCCAGGGAGCTTCCAGAAAATTTGAAAGATTTTTTACTTTGCCTTTTTATCACACCAATATTACAAGAATAACACGAACACAATTAATTTTATGTAAACGAGTTCATGAATATCAAACAATTAACGCATTTGCCTTACAAATTATTCAGTATATGTTATTTCTATATTATGTAACATACTTTCTCCTTTTTGTGTAATGGGGAGGGGGGTGTCAAGCATAGCAACCTCTTTTCCAATTATACATGGCATTTTAAGGACAAGGGTTAACGCCTTCTCCTGTATATGGCTATTGATTTTTAATTCTGTTTTGGATTTCTTGAAGTGTACATCACGATGTTATAAATATACCGAAATTTTCATAGAACAAGCATAATATTCATTTTTTATGCACGCTAAAAATAGTCCATCGGTTTATAACTTCCAAAAAAGATTAGGATTTAATTATCAAGTTACTTTAACTGAACGGACTTTGGAAGTACGTCATGGATCTATAAATATAAAGAGTATTATGATGATAGATGTAACATATGCATGCCAACTAACGGATACGTGTGCACTTGTATATGAATATGAATGGAGCACTCCATTCAAAATAAGGGTCACAATGTAAAGCTATACATAACTACATGTACATGCATATCTAAATTCTTTCTATAACAATTCAGCAGTTGCGAAAAATGATAAACTTTTCGGGAAACTCATATCCTAAAATGTTCTTTCTAATGCATGCAGATAACTAGTTAATTTATAATAATGAAAATCATAATAATAATTACTACAAATGAAAGTTTTATAATTATTCCTGACCCTAAAACTTACAAAAGTCGTAAGTCTACATAAATAAAAGATAAGTTCAGGGACCGAGGGATGAATATTGCTACTTTGTCACGACATTTATCCATCGAGAAACTATTTTTATCGGAAATATATATTCTTGGGAAGCTAAATTTGTGTAGTATTTGGATTATATATATATATATATATATATATATATATATATATATATATATATATATATATATATATATATATATATATATATATATATATATATATATATATATGCTTTGGAGAAAAAAATTACTTCGCATATAAAACAAATGTAAAATGAACACGGAAAAAATTGATAAAGCAAAAGTTTACTCATTTGGTGAATATGGTATAGGAACTGAAAAAAAAAAATCTTTATACAAATGTACACAACAAAATCATTCATATACAGTCGAACAATCTACTGAGGGAGTGATATGCATACTGCATACCTCCATGCAATTAATGCTATAAAAAATGTGTTGAAATAGTATATTTTGAAATTACCTCACTACATTAACAACATTTTTAAAGAAAATACTAAGCCAATTCTTTTAATATGTACATATTTCTCTTCCCTATGTATAAAAAATTCACTCTACTTGCCTATTTTTTCTTTTTGAAATATTCACACCAGCATGGGAAAAGGAATGACTTTTGTACAGTGTTAAGATAGTAAGATATGCTGGTGTTATTGTAAATAGGATGCTGTGTTTTGTTTGAAACAATTTACGGAAAATGACCCCAATGTAAGGACATCCAGGTTGTGACGCTGGTTTTCCTGTCTTCTTGACGTCATTTTATTTAGTATACAAAACTTTCTGGACAGCTTTATATATAAACAAAATACCTTTCGAATGATATTTATAAAGTTTTAAAAGTCATTTATTCATAAATTGCCAACACCAAACTGATTTTGACGATAGAAATACTGCATACTGATACCAGTGTTCTCAGATCGTCCATACTTACTAGTATCTTTAGCTTCAATAAAGCAAAAAAAAAGTCATGAATAAAAATCTCTGGTTGTTTCTGACCTCTTAAATTATTCTTAGGATACAAGTATCTTCTGTTAGTCCTCCTATCGGCGAAACGGCGTGAGGGGTTTTGTGATGAAAATTCTTCATTATATGCTGATACTTATTTATTATTCTACTAGGAAGATGACATTTTATCGCTGATTCTTATATTCACAATGTCGAGGTTTGGCGATTACGAAATTCTACAAAAACGGGTTTGTGTGGAGTTCCGTAATCACAAAATCTTGACATTGTGAAGAGAGCTGACGCTTTGAATGTACATGTATGCTGATACTTTGTCTTTATATATGCTGATACATTATTGTCTTTATATGCCGAGACTCTGTATTTATACGCTGAAACTTTGTCTTTTATATATATATATATATATATATATATATATATATATATATATATATATATATATATATATATATATACGAAATTTCCTATATATGCTGATGCTTTGTGTTTATGTATGAAGATACTTTGTCTTTATATATGCTGAAACTTTATTGTCTTTATATGCCGAAAAAACTCTGTCTTAATTAATATGCTGATACTTTGTCTTTATATGCTGAAACTTTGTTTTTGTATGTTGAAAGTTTATCATCAGACTATATATGCTGATACTTTGTCTTTTTACGCTGATTCTTTGTGTTTATATGATGATACTTTGTCTTTACTGAATACGTGTACAGGTTTGTTACTGTTTCTTTAACTGTGTAATTAACTAATCATTATAAAAACATTTAGTCAATTTACAATTGTTGTTTATACAACAGTATTATAAGAAAATTCCCATTTCGCCTTAGTTTTTTTTTTTTACCCTTTCTTACCTATATTTCACAGTTAAGGCGAAATGGGAACACACCCATGTACATGTATATGCTGATACTTTGTCTTTATATGTTGATATTTTGTGTTTTTATATGTTGATACTTTGTCTTTATATGTTGATACTTTGTCTTTATATGTTGATATTTTGTCTTTATATGTTGATATTTTGTGTTTTTATATGCTGATACTTTGTCTTTCTATGTTGATACTTTCTGTTTTTATATGTTGATACTTTGTCTTTATATGTTGATATTTTGTGTTTTTATATGCTGATACTTTGTCTTTATATGCTGATACTTTGTCTTTATATGCTGATACTTTGTCTTTATATGTTGATACTTTGTCTTTATATGTTGATATTTTGTCTTTATATGTTGATATTTTGTCTTTATATGTTGATACTTTGTGTCTTTATATGTTGATACTTTGTCTTTATATGTTGATACTTTGTGTTTTTATATGCTGATACTTTGTCTTTATATGCTGATACTTTGTCTTTATATGTTGATACTTTGTCTTTATATGTTGATATTTTGTCTTTATATGTTGATATTTTGTGTTTTTATATGCT